CAATAATAACAACTTTATTTGCTCTGATTTGCAAAAGATTAAAATCATTTTGGTATTTGATAGAATATCGAATTCACCTCCATGTTTAATTACATTTGATCTACTAAGTGTAAAAGTACATAAAGTTTTCACATAAAAGTTACGAAAAACGTAACTGAAACAGTGATTTCATTAATTGTCTATAACATTCTAAGTCTAAAATTTAATTATAACATTAGGTGTGCGTGTAACAAAATAAAATACTTCGACTTATCATATTATGTTTTTATATATTACTTCTCTCTCTTCTTGTATTTTGTAATATTAGTACTAAAAACAAGTTACATATTCAAAACTCGCTACAATCTTTCATGAACACTAAATTACAAACTTTTCTTAAAATTAATAAACAAGCGTTTGTAGCGTATTAAAAATACGCTGAATAAAATATTAAAGAAAAGGCGAGTAAGATGTGTGTAAACTTCTGCGCAAATTATTATATCATTCCTAATATTAAAAATTAAATAATTCGAGAATGAACACATTAAAATGGCAACAAAAGTTGTAACCGCACAACTGTTCACCTTTTCTAAATCTAATTTCATTCCTAATATGAATTACTCATCATACAAAAACATATATAGATATGTTCCTTTCATTAAATTGATAATAAACAGCTTTAATAAAATGCAATGATATCGCTTAGAAAAAAAAGAGGCTCCTTTTATGTACATGATCAACATAGGTAACTCTTCACGCCCTAAATTTGTCTAAGTTGATTAGAACACTATTATTCTTAAGTACAAGGCATTCATGTGCAAAAATTGTACTGCCTACAATTTACATAGGCAAAATAGTAAAGGAATAAACGCCCCAAGTGCTACAAAGACTGGTAACATTACTGAAGAATCATCAATTGAGTAAGGATCTGGAGTTCTGGGGCCACTTGTATGTCGACTACGAACCGTAGACTCTTCCTCATCTTCTTGTATATTATGATACTCTTCTGATTCCTGAGGAATTGGACCCAGTTGTGGTATATCTGAAAATTATTAAAAAGGAATTACAACACTAACTCAAAACACTTAAGATAAACTTAGTAAGATCAAGTAAGGTTAAATAATACCTTCCATATTTCCTTTTACCACAGCAATAGCATTTATTTTTGGGTTATCCCTATAGCCCTGTAATTAATTCATTAAAATGAATAAAATTATTTTGATTTATTATGATTATTAGATCACATCTAGAATAGATAATAAATGTAAGCATAATACTTTTATAAATTCAACTCTAATTTTTCCAGCTAAGATATCAGACTCTTCGTCATTATATATGAACTTCCCAGCTTGAACTTTAAATGGAATATATTCGTCGTGTGCTATACCACGTCCAACTCTTTCAAAGATATCCAAGTCAGTAACTACAGTATGATCTCCATTTAATACTACATCGAATACCTAAAAAATATTTTATAACATAAAAATTGTTTTACACTGTATAATAATATAAGTGCCTAAACTTTATTTACAAAGCTAAGATTATTGTGAAATGTTACCTTCATATTAGGAGAGTTAAAATAAACTTCACAGAACTTTAGTATCATAACGTAATCTCCATCTTCACTGATGGGAATGTCGTATCCAAAAGTGCTATGATGATAGCGCTCAGTTTGATACAAGATCTGGTCAATAACATTCACTCTGCCAATAATTAACTGTTTGCCATAATCTGATGCTGTTCCAACTTTACTCATCAAAGGATCTCTGGCATACCGAATTCCATAACTATCAGTATGTGCTTCTCCACCAGAATTTATTGCATATATTACTTGTAAGCTTTGCAAACTTTTCACACAGAAAATAACCAATAATGTTGATATTATCAAGAAATGTACTCCCCATCCCGAAGTCATGATTCTTATTATGTAATAATGCTCAGCTTTTTCGAAGTAACAATGTAATCATATCTTGCTACAAGTTTTTGCGACCGGCAAGTGAGGTTACGCTTAAAATAGAGAAACATTTAAATCTAGCAACATATTGATGTTACATACTAAGAAATTTGTATGTCATTCGATTAAACTAAATTCTATATTAAATAAAATTTAAAAGTTACACTCTATCTGTTTTGTCAACAAATACCATCACTTGGGTCACGAATTATGTACTTCTAACTACGTATTGATAACAGTCACGTTAATATTACGTGGCCGGTAAATACATCAGCATAGGTGAACATATAAACCGCCTTTAATGCAATGTGGGTTACACGATGTTTTACATAAATAACAATTTATTCTGAAAAACATACGTATGAATAAATTTTTATTTACTTAGGAAAAATTTATTACAAATAAATTTTATTATAATTTCTTCAAAATATTCTATAGTACATACATGCACACATACCACGTACCAGCTTTTAAAAATGTACAACTTATTATTGATAAAGGTAAACTTCAAATTTTATATACAAATTTTATTTTAATATTTTTATGTTATGTACAGTTGTATACTAGTTACATAAGAAATAAATAAATTATTTTTTGTACAAAATGTAGTTAATTTATATGGCAGTTACAAGTAAGTAATTACATATTGTTAATAAATATACAAGTAATTACATATTATTAAGAAATATAAACATTCACATTCAGAAGAAATTACATTCATATTATATTATTTTTCTTTGAAGACAGTTCGTCCGTATCGCAACATTACTATATTTATTTATAGTCACCTTTTGAATGTGATTTAACTTGTTACAGTAATAAACAAATAAATGTAATTTTTTTTCATTTAACTAATCGACTTTTAAAACAACTCAAAATGAATTATTATTTTATCCTACAGATATTGATATTATCATTAGAATAAATATTCATAACTCATAATCTTTTTATAGTGTATTTAATTTTGGGCTAATAAATTTGTTTGTTTTGAGCACTACTATTAATTACTATTTATAATTGATTCTCATTATACAATAATTTTTTTATAAAACAATTTCTTTTCAAATCATATTCTACTTTTTACTTACTTATCGAAATTATTCACCACATTTACAAGTATTTCCTGCAATCTTTTAAAAAGAGAATGCAGCTGCACAATACGTTTACAAGCAACGGTAAAATGTGAAATTTTGTATCGGTAGATAGTATTGTAAAATGCGCTCAATATATGTATGTAAGTATATATGTAGACACACACGCAATACCTTGACAATACCTTGACAATGTTCAGAAAACCGTTACCTTTGCACACCTGCCAGTACCGTCTCCTTTTCTTTGACACATGAAAACCTTACAATGACTACAGAATAAACCGTGATCTATTAAATGCTAATCACACACTTCAGGTTTTCTATTTACAAGCGGTGCAGTGTACTAAATTTTCGAGAGATTTACCTTATGCTGACACTACACACTAAACAATTGGGTTAGGACTATTTCGGAATTGGGTTGACTATCTTCATTTATATAAAACACTTTATACTAAAATATTTTATTTGTTGAAATAAAATTTATTAAGAATTTTAAGAAGCACCTTTCAATAGTTTTAATGAACTAGGTCTCATTCATGAATTCTGAATGAAATTTAAACAACTTGTTTGAATAGGAACATCCATATTACAACTTTTATGAAACACGACACATAATACAATATATGTATAGTGTAAAAAAGTTTTATCCTTTCATAATTACTTTGTGCAACTGTTTTTCAAATTTAAATATATAAAGATGTGAAAAATAACTCATTATTTAGACGAAACCAGTAAATATTTAGAAAGAATCCATCCAGCGTCGAAAGGAAAAGTTTTTCTACCCGGATAGAAAAATGATGTCATGTTGCACTCAGCATGCGTTCATACATATATTGATGTAATCTAACCTCAAAACACATATAAATGCGTGGACATGTGCTGCTCAGATATCATTCATATCATGTCAGAAAAATATCTCCTATGAAAGTATTATGATAATAAAATCTGACATGTATTATATACATTTGTACATCATTTGTGTACTTCGTGAAATGATATTTAAAAAGGAATATTACATCGAAGTTTACGCTTTTCTATCTGAAAAGTAACAGCACATAAAATTAATTTGTTCATAGTAGTTTAATCCTTTTATATTTTACAAAAATATTGAGTTTTCTTAAACTAATACATAAACAAATTTGAAATATAAAATGTTTTTATAAAAAAAAATAAACGTTGGTAAAGCTTTCGTGTTATACAAACACTTATATAGTAAAAAGAAAAACAAAAGAACATATAAAATTTCTATAACAACGTAATGTATAACTTCTATAATAACGTGACAATATTAATCTTTGGTTATCAAATTAATAAAATAATCAAGAATTATGATATAACTTAAATAGTTGAGTTGTTTTCATCTGAATCATCTGGAAAAAGAAGATCACAGGCTTCATAGTTAGTAGAATCGTTAGATTCGCAAATACAGGGTCCGGCAAAAAGATTCGATTTATTCTCCAAATATACCAATAATATACAAGTCAAGCACATGTTCCTAGATTAATCTAGAAACAAAGTTGAATTCGTATTCCAAAGAACTTGCAATGTAAACTGATAACTGATCACGCATGACATAAAAACGCGGTAAACGAGCTACAACCACATGAATAGACTCAGATCTTTTTGCCAGACCCTGCAGTATCTGAATTATTTTCAATATTATTTGTTCTTTTAGACACATGTTTTTATTTCGTAGAATTCTCTTTTTTAATATTCAATTTTTATTTATGCAATACCTAAAACAAAAATAAGATATATTGAGCACAAATACATTCAATGTACAAATATATTATCATAATAATATATTAAGTAACACAATATAAAGTGAAAACACTTTGATTACATTCTGATATTCATTGCCAGTACAGAGTTCATGTAAGCTATCCTAGGACTACGTTCCAAAACCCAACTTGATAAATAGAGTAGTGTTGAATTAACCAATCATAATAAAAAGATTTTTTGTCCTGATTATATCCTCTTTTTATCCTGATTTCAATTAAACACTACTTTAGCAAGAAGGATTTTGGAACATAGCCCAGACAGCACGATGTTCTATATTCTACAGATGTTTCTTGAAAGTCTGTACTGTTTTGGATTTTATAGACCTTCAGTACTGATAGTAAATATCTGAAGGAGGTAAACACAACTCTAATTATCACACTGATGAAATCTCACATAACTTACAAATTTATATTTTATGATATATTAAATTGTAATTTTTACACTACTTAATAAATTCTTTGATTATTTCTTAATTAAGTAATTAAATTACTTAATTTAATACCAAGACTAGTAAGTAATCAAAGAATTTCTTAAATAGTGTAAAAATTAAAATTTGTTACATACATATGTACATATACCGTAAAACGTAAATTGTAGGTTATGTGAGATTTCATCGTTATGATAATTAAGGCTGTGTTCCTCTCCCCTGATATTTACTTAATGTATGAGGGTCATTCAATAAGTAAAGAGACAAAGAGTTCTAGTTCAAAAAATATTCAAATAAGAAATACGATATTTTCAAAATCACAAGTTGGTATCCCTGTCATCAATTTAAAACAGCTGTTTGACAACAATATCAGTATAAGTACAAAAAATTAAAAAAATTAAAAAATTGGAAAATATTAGGTTGAATGCTTCTATCACATTCATCTTATAGTCTAGATCTTACCCCATCAGATTTCTTTTTATTTAACACCTCTTTTGTGCAATCAAGTTTGACAGCAACGAAAAAGTGAAAATTAACGTGAAAAACTGGTTCAAACAAAAAGACAAAGAACTCTTTGCTACTGACATAAACCAGCTAGTAAAATGATCGGACAAGAATAAAATTGTAACAAGAGTTTATGTTGAGAAATAGGTAAATTGTGAAATTCATTGAATAAACCATATTAAAACAACAGCCGTTTGTCTCTTCACTTATTGAATGATCCTCGTATATACTTATGTATAATATATTTTTACCTTTAGAGTCATTTTATATAATTTTCACACTTAATCCTCTCACTTTGGTTTTTTGCAATATCCATTTAATTTTAATAGCTCTGACAGACCAGCGTAATACGCAATCAGTTAATTTAATTGACAATGAGTGCGCGGCGTCACATATCAGGCAGAGCGTGCCTGTGTGCATAAGTAGGGGGGGAAGAAGCCGGTGTGCTCGGTCTCGAAATCTCGCTCGCGCGCGATATCCAATGAACCTCGTGGTGGTCAATTACCGTTTCACATTTCCGGGAATAGTAGGTGGGATCTATTATACGCTACAAATGCTTCGAAGCGCTGCATAAACCAAATCACTGTCTTTCATTTAGCGCTCCAAAGCGGTTGTAGCCTCAAATAAATCCTACCGCATATCTATTGGTATATGACTATATCCGCAATTCTTCATTCGTGCTGAAACTATGAGATCATTTAATGATTACTTTTCGTAATTATAAGAATTACAGTTGTTAAGCAAAGGTTTCTAAAAATTTCGGTGACAATTTCGTTTTTCATTTTTAAATCAAGTCAAGAACATGTAAACATTTTTGTACTTCATTTATGTACATTTTGTGCTCGTGTCATGTTAATCATGTAATGATCTTCCAAAATGAATTAAGTTGAAGTTACTAGTATGACAATCATATTATTATAATGAAATGTGATCATCGCACATTTCTATCTGGGTATATGTACACATATGCTTCGGATGTACATTGTGAAGTAAAATATTCACGACATAGATTCTCCGGAGCTATCTATTACATAATTTGCTACATTTAATAAAAATACGAACATTGTCGTATACGAAAGAATATGTAAAAAGAAACTATGATTGCACTGCAAATAAATTTTTAAACGATAAATAAGAATATTTTTTTTCATAAGTTAAAATAAATTAATGAATCTTCTATCAATTCTTTATTTCGATTTTAAATGTTTATTAAAGTATATACATACATACATGAGCCGTTTAATGTAAAAGTGGTGTAAGTCAATTTTTTGCCTATTTAATTCAACACTACATCTCGAAACCATAACCTTCATTTCGTTTTGTGCAGAAGTGGTGTAAGTATATCTTTATTAGTTTCTCGGTGGATGGCAAAATAAGTAAAAACCACCCTTTATGCAACGACGTTATAAGCAAGAATGGTGTGAGTCAGTCTTTGGTGAAATAAATGACATTGGACTTCTGAATTTCGAAGAAGTGAGCGATGAATAAAAGCTTAAATTCATGACAATGTAAACCACATTTTATATATTTTATTCATTTTTTTTTTAAGTAATTTGTTTAGTAATTAATAAAGCAGTAGAAACACAATGTCTACCTCAACAAACAGATTCCTTTTTAATAATAATTACCTTCCCAGTTTGCACGAAAATAGTGTAAATCAGAAGAATATTGAATAAAATGATTATACACACATTATTAGCTTAAGGTATAACTATACAGTGGCTTACGTAAAAGTGACGTAACATTCTTTCACATTATTGAATTTTACAGAACTTTTAATTTATCCCTCATTGTCATTATCTCTACAGAAATCAATGTTTTTGACTTACACCACTTTTGCACGACTCACATATACGGTATTGAAATGTAACTAAAGTCTTTGTCGGATTCAAACGAAATATAACCTATTTTCATTTTGGGCAGTGCTTATTATGTATTTCATTTTAAATAAAAGGGAAAAAGAAAATGAAAAATGTTATTTTTATTATCGATCAATAAACTGGTAAATCGTGAAAGTTTAATGACGTACATAATCCAATGTTTATTGTTTATGACAGTGAAATAAAAATCTGATTAACAGTATAGGTTAAATGCTCTTGTTTAAACTTTGATTTATTTTCTTTTTTAATCAGAAGGTCAAATATTATATTTATTACAATAATAAAAGATGTAAATTGCAGCAAATTCAAAAATTATGAAGAAAAATAAATTATAAATATTTACTGTCCTTTCAATTGTTATCCTATGTTGATGAATATGGAGAATTTCGTGACCATGAAAACATCGAACCTCTTGGTATAACTGTTCCACGAATCATTAAATATAAACATTTTAAAACTTCAAAGAAAAACGAGTCCCTTTTTTTAAGAAGAACGAATATTAAGGTCGCATTGTATGGTTATTTTAAGAATTATTATCAAAAAATCACAGGACCCTTATATTTCATAAGATATTTACAAGAATATTAAAAACTGTCAAATACTGATTCTTATTCTCTTAAAATTTCACGATAAACATTTCCAAACGTATAAAAATATTTCACAGTGAAGAGGATGGGACTTTAGTTAATTAAGAACACGTATATTTTAAGCGAAACTTTTTATTGATCACAATGTAATATTAGTGAAACGGGTATATATGTTCACGCTGTAAAAAGTACAACACGTGTTGTAATTTTGCAAAACTGACTTTCATAAGGTGATACAGTATGTACGGAAATGATTTGAACGAGTAACACTCGCGTAACAGCAATGTATTGAACGGATGTAGCATGACTGTGCAGAGGTATACGCTGGACGTATCTACAGAGCTAGCGAACTCTACCGCAATGCTTATCGTCATCGATTGCTTGCACTATGCTTTGTCGCATAGGCTGCATTTTCTTGGAAAGGAAATTTTTGCGAAATTCGACAAATTAAGATAATATTCGAACTGATAAGAATGGAACAAATATTGCTTTTACTTTAACGCTCACTAATGTCATTTATACTGATGAACAAGTTTTACACTTACATTTCATTGTCCCTTTTAAATTTTCTTGTGCTTTTACTGAATGTAAAAGGTGAGGAATAGTTATGAAAGTTCATAAAGAATATGGCATATACGTAGTTCTTTGCTTCGTTTATGTTTATTATATGTGGAGTCTGTATGATATCATAGAAAGATTAGATTAGTAAATATAATTTAATATTTCTATAAGCATAATATCATCAATATATGAATATGTTTGAAATCTATAAAAATATATTACGATACTACAATCGGTTTTTCCAAATATTTATTGTCTTTTATTCTTTGAATAGAGGTATCAATTACAATCAAACTCACGATATTTTTACGATTATTTGAAGAACATATTGCCTACACACACGTTTTATGCGACACAATATGTATGTATATACGCGTGTGTGCGTTATACCATGATAAATTTCAAGGGACATATGTATATAAATGGAAATCGACAAATTTTTTAAAGATCATAATCCGGTTTTCCAAACATCACAGCGATTATCTTTTAATGGTGTTTCGATACAGCAATACAGCAAAGCAAAAGAGAAAATTACTACGCGTGAACAAATTCTATCTATTTAATCTTTTGCGTCATGTTGTATTAATCACCATTTGATAATGAATTCAAATTTATAATCACACAAATTTATGATTCACTTCGTATCATACACTCAATACATTGGTTTATTTCAAATTTGCAGCTTTCATTTGATTCAATGACAGTTAAGTTCTATATAATGAAAACCAAAGTAAATATTGTCTAACAATAATACTGCATTAAAGGTTTTATTTTATTTTTCCTTTATTTATTCTTTTAATTATAACTAGATATATTAAGACTTAGGTATCTTATACGTATGTATATGGAGACAATTATAGAATTTCTACGATTTTATTAGATATTCGTTATAAATGCATATTATCATCATTATGATACAATGATATCATCTTTTTGTTGTTTATTATCGTTTATTACTTTTAACGATATCGTGTCTTGTAAAATAGTTGTACCATAAGCGTTAAAATTAAACACGTACGTGGTAAAGGTGATAGATGTCAAAGGAATTAAGTGAACTTGAAACACAGGAGATCCATAACCATGTGTAGATGTAAACTGAAGAACGTGTACTTGAATACATGTGGCCGTGCACCTTCCAGAATTAGCTACTAGATTGTTCTTTAACTTTCCTTACACTTTACTTCCGCATCATCTGTAGTTCCAGCTGGAAATTATTTAAAACAATTATTTCATCCAAAAGCTGGAGCTTTAAAAAATAATTACGAAAATATCAGGTAATTTTATTCAAAACAAAAGAAATCAAATTTTTAAATGCCTACTGTATATAAAGTATATTTGGATCAATCTATAATCATGCAAAACTTCACCATTGATGCACGTAGTTTGTGGCGCGTGGCCAATGGTTGTCCAGATCGAACAGAAACTGACGCCTGATTGGAGAATGGAATGTGCTTGAGCAGGAAGAACATTCCAGAAGCGTCCTCTGAGAAAGTAATATATACCGTTCCGCAAGTACGGGCGCTTCACTCACGTTGCGAATCGTCAAGCGAAGAACTTCTTCACTATCCTTAAAAGCAAGTTTTCACAAGTGAACAAAGAGAGGTATGTAGCATCTGCATTTGTTGCAGTAACATTCCATGTTTCATTCTTAATCAAAATAATTGAGATATTGTTTTTAGAAATTGAATTTCCGTTTGTATTTTTTAATAGTAAAAATGGCCAAAGCACCTGCAGTTGGTATTGATCTCGGCACCACTTACTCCTGCGTTGGTGTATTCCAGCATGGAAAAGTGGAAATCATCGCCAACGATCAAGGAAATCGTACGACACCTAGCTATGTTGCATTTACTGAAACCGAACGGTTGATCGGTGATGCTGCCAAAAATCAAGTTGCCATGAACCCTAATAACACTATCTTCGGTAAGTGTGTTCACTCGTAAAATATTTTTCACGTCGAAAAAATGCTGTACTTCGCATGAATGAAATCGTTAATTTTACATTATTTCATAATAATATTATATTAATATTTTTGTACAAGGATTTCGTATAATCATTCTTAAGCATTGTTTATTATATCCTTCGTTACTAAAAACCTTTTTTGTTTTGGAAC